TGGTAAAGTAGAAAAGAGAAAGTAGTTTGTAAAAAGTAAGTGATGTAAAAGTAATAAAAGTGAGGGTATTTTCTCAAAATCTTTCCTTAAAGGGAAAGGAAGACAAATAAAAAAAACGTCCCAAAAATGAAAGAATGACTAATAAAAAAGAACGGAGGGAGTATGATAAAATGTAAATATAAAATATTACTACCTTCGTCCCATATTGGTTGTCCACTTTCAATTTGGCACGCTTATTAATAAAGTGGTTGAAAAGTAAAAGTTGTGGTTGAGATTTGAGTAGAATAAAGTGAGATGATAAGAACCACATATTTCTTGCTAAAAAGGGAAACAAGACATTCATTTTGGGACAATCAAAAAAGGAAAGTATGACATCCAAAATGGGACGGAGGAAGTAATACAATGTACGAGTTTTTTTCTATCAATCTTCTAACTTTCTTTTACAAAAAATTGAATCTTCTAACTCAAGTTTTTTTAATTTGTGCATTATAAAATATTTTAGGAATTAATGTTTTATTTTTCTATTTTTAATTTTAAGATAAATCGATATTACTATGTAGTTCTTAAGTATTGTGTGTTAAATAAAAATTATAAAAGAACCCGATTATATTTGTAATTCGAGAACGAAAGATTATAAATTATTTTTAATATAAACTACTATATTTGTCTGTGCATTTGAACACATTAGAGAATTCAAACGGACTTTTGAATTTTTTGATACTCATTTTGTAAGTTACGTATTTCATCTGATATTAGTTTTATGTTCATTTTAAAATGTCACATTAATGCAGATAACAAAAGTATCATTTTAAGTTCACATAAGAGTTAGATACTTAGATTATCATACTCAATTGCATGCTTCAGATACTCAATAGAAGAAGTTTTGATGGTCAGCGAAAATTTCTTGATGTTCAACTAACAAAGCTTATTATTTTCATATCATTGCTCATTTGGTAAGTAATGTGTGCCCATTTTGTACTTATGTTATGCTCATTTTAACATATTATATAAATGTCTATTTCAAAAGTACCATATTAAATTACATTCATGTAGCAGCTGATCATAGACATAGGAGTACAAACCATGATACTCAATTGCATGTTTCTAATACTCAATAGAGAATGTTTGATGTTCATTAAAAATGTCTTGAAGTTCGACTAAAAACTTATGATTTTCATATCAATGCTCATTTTGTGAGTAACTTAAGCTCAATTCGTACTCATGTTATGCTCATTTTTAAAATGTCATATCAATGCATAACTTAAGCTCAATTCGTACTCATGTTATACTCATTTTGTGAGTAACTTAAGCTCAATTCCTTTTTAACAAGTATTCTTAAAAAGGAAAAATAAGAAAAAGAAAGTGAATTCGAATATATAAAGCAGATCTCGATACTCATTGTTAGGCTTCCAATGCTCAACAAAACATGTCTGATGCTCACTAAATTACATGATAATTCCTAATACTCAATAGAGGAGGTTTGATGCTCAACTAACAAATCGGTGGGCGGTCGCCCCCCCCCCCCTCCCCCCAACAACAAAATTTTTCACTACTCAAGTTCCCAAGACCGATTGGCTAAACTTTTTCGAACTACTCAAGTTCGAGTTTGATTTTGAATATAAATGAATGACCCGAGCTTAACGAGCTTTAAACTCGAATGCAGGCTAGATTGTCATTAGAGTAGTTATCCAAGCCGAGTTTGAGCTTAGTGATGTTTGGTTCGATCCAAACTCGAGCTTATTGAACATTTATAAATTTTAAGAATAGGATATATAGAGTAAAATATCTGCACATGCACGTCTGACAAGGAGTCCCATCCGGCAAAGCCCGCTTGAGGTGCTTTCAGGGTAAAAGAATTTAATGGATGTTTTTGAAAATGTTCTCCATGAAGTTTAGATTTCGCCTACAAAATTTCAGCTTAAAATTCAATCGGAATGTCGGTTAAATAAATTAATGAAAAATACTCTTCTTTATATATGTATATTTTGTGAAAGAATATTTGGACCTATCAAAAGTGGAATTTGCGCGGGTAACTTTCTTTTTGAATGATTGAATGCATTTCTAGAGTCCCATATTGGGATTTAGCACTGTCTAAATGATTTATTCTGGACCGGGGCTTGTCAAAATAAGCAATATAAAAAGTGCAATGTTTTTCAATAATTTATTTAAATGACTTCATGATTTATAGGGAACGCTTCTAATGACAACCACGAGAACTCCACTTTTAACTCAATGTGATACACTATAACATTTGTATGTTACCTTTTTTGTATTGATGAAATATTTACAAATTCGCCACCTATTTATTTGATGTTGTCATGTTTTGAAAAAGTGTAACGTATAAAACTTGTAGTGTATTGCATTGAGTTAAAAGTGGAGTTCTAACGGTTCTCGCGTTAAGCATGATTCTCATTTGATTGTAAATATGCAAACCATTCATTTTTTCCCCGAGTGTGATGCACTATAAAGTCTCTCTGTTGCACTTTTTCATATCGACATAATAACTTTGACTTATTTACGAAAATGAAAACGGCATTTTTTTTAATTGACTTGGCTCGACCAATGTTCAAAAAGTGCAACATATCACCTTTAAAGAGAATCACATTGGGGAAAAAGTGAACGGTTTGCACTTTTCACGTTAAAAGTGTTTTTTATTATTTGATCCAAAACCATATATATATATATATATATATATATATATAATAGTAAAAAACATAAACAAATTAAAAAAATATGGATGTCTTTACCAATTACCACTGCCTCTACTGCCTGTCTGCCTCCCCGCACCACCACCTCCGAACGGTGTAAAACAATTCCATTTTTTTTTGTAAAAATGCCATTTTTTGTAAAAAATGTCATTTTTTCTGAAAATGCAAAAAACTTGCATATTACTCTTTGATAATGTCAAAATTTTCATTGAAACTGTCATTAATATGGCATTAGTAATGCATGTGGCATTTGTTTTCACAAAATAAATCATATTGGGGTAATTGATTGAAATAAAATACCATCAATACTTAAATTGTAGGTTAGTAATTAAAAATACAAATAATTACATATATATATGACGAAATAAATGTAATTTACAAAAATGTGATTAGTGACAATAGTAGTAACTTCATCATAGTAACTTATGTTTAATTTTTACACTTAATTAACTGACTATGAGATTAAACCGTAGTAACTAATCATTATATTTTTGTAAATAAATTTCATTTCAATAATATTTTTAAAACAACTCTTAAAACTTTTATAATAAAATTTTGAATCATATCATATCTATGTTGGTAATACAAATTTAGAAGCACCGAAATCTATGCCTCGTTACGGTAGTTGGTTTTTGTTTCTTTAGCCTTATCTCTAGAACCATTTGGCGGGCATAAGTCTCTGTCTTCTAGCTTTTGTATTGTTCAAAAAGTCTCTAAAAGCTTCTAGTTATATGTTTGGCATGACAATTTTAAGAGCTTTTCAAAAATTAAAAGATCTTTTTTGAGATGCTACAAAGAGTAACATCTGAAAAAAGCCCGTGACTTTTAGTACGTAGTATTAATTAGTCCTAACAGCTTGTACCAAACCGAACTAAATCAAACAGTCAGCTTTTTACCAAACAGCTACCACATTTTCTTTTTAAGATCTTTTCAGTCACTAAAAGCTAACAATTATTAAAAAGCTCATAAAAGTATCTTTTCAGCTAGTTGTGCCAAACATACCCCAAATTTCGCTCTTTTTGCTTGTCATAGAATAAACACTATTAAATAAAAATAGTTTAGTATTAAATTATAATTAGGTATATCATACTTCGTAATTGTTATGAAAAATAGCCTTTTATATGCCGATTGCTCAAAAACATCTATTTTTCTAGTTGAGTTTTGGCTTTGATCGATTTGTGTAATGGTGGCCTGGTGGTATGTATAGAAATTTGGTAAAGTATGTGAGAAATACTACTCCTATTGATTTTGCTCTCTTATGTAATATAGCAAGAAATAAACTTGACTATAAATTTAAATTTTGCTCTCATAAATGATCCAGACAAACCCGCCAAACACCTTTCTATACTCCGTAGTTACTACTTTTTCTTTTTCGTTTTGGTTGGTGTGATAGAATGCTATCATGTATAACAAATACCCATAACATTAATAGTTGTTATTTGAAAATTTGGTGCCCCATATACTAAAGGGGCCCTAGGCATATGCCTAGGTGCCTTACCCCTATATCCGGTTCTGGCAACCTCTAAGTATGCCTCATCCAGTCATTCGAACTTTAATCCTCAACCTCCATAGACCGGTAGCTAGATCGAGATTCGAGAAGTAAGCAGATAGAGTTGTGTTACACACACAGGGAGGAAAAAGGAAAGAGAAAAGCAAAAGAATAGAAATAACAAAAAAAACATAAAAAAATAGAAAATTGTAAAAAAAAAAACCAAGTGGACATTATATAACCGGAGAACCGGTTGTTTACGGGTTAAATAGTCAATTTGATTATTTTCTAATACTTCGCATACTTGATTGATTCATTAAATAGTATATGGACTCAATTGACTTTTTTCGTAAAAGTATATGGACATTTGACAGTTTTCCCTTTAAAAAATATTTTATTAACTTATTATTATTTTTGTACGAATTTTTATTATTTTATTATGAACTAAAATATTTCAAAAGCTACAAGGTACATTTGTCTAATCACACATAATTAGTCATAGTGAATAAAAAACAATGTGTCCTATTTGCGATTGTGGATTATCTTTTATTTACTTCTATTTAGATAATTAACTCTATTTATTTTCACCTGGACCGTACCAGTGTTGTGGTGCCTATGCGGCCATTCATCCTTCCATAATTTAAACTAAATTTGCATCGGATGTGCCGTAGGTTCTGGGGAGTGAGCTATTTAGGGTCGTGAAAGAAAACTTTGGTGGGAGCTGCAAGAAACTTGTGGAAGAGAAGGTTCTTCCGGTGGCCGGCGATGTTTCCTTTGCGGATTTGGGGATTGAAAACTCGAAGGTGAAAGATGAAATATTGAGGGAGGTTGATATCATAGTCAACTCTGCTGCCACAACCACATTTGACGAGAGGTACTTAATAAATATGGAGTATATATAAAGAAGATGCTCAAGATAATCATCTAAATATTTCACCGCGAAAGACACCAAATGGCCTTGGCCGAACGGGGTCTTGTCAGAACGTCTTGATATGAACTGTCCTATGTATAGATTGAATCTGGACTGTTGGATTGTATCATGTGAAACTGAATTGTGTATTTGGTGAAGCTGAAATATGTTTTAGGTTAAATTGAAATGTGCGGAATAAAAGGTAAAACTCAAATGTGCATAATGTGAAATTGAAATGCGCAAAATAAAAGACACACAAATGCCACCACATCGTAGTTTTTATTATGCACATTTAAATTTCACTTAATGTACAATTTAGCTTCACATAATGTCATTGTGTCATACCTTTTGTGTTACACATTTCAATTTCATGTAATGCACATTGTAGTTTTAACTAATGCACATTTAATTTCACCTAATACACAATTCAGCTTCACATAATGTCACTGTTGTACCTTTTGTGATGCACATTTTGATTTACCTAATGCATATTTCAGTTTCACCGTAATGCACATTTAATTTCATAGAAAACAATCTAACGCTATAGATTCATTCTCATTTCTCTCCTAAGATCATTTTCTCATTTGAACCTCACTATCTCTCTCTCTACACACACACACATATAGGGGAAGGATCAAGTACAAACTGTGCTTATTGTGCAAATGTTTGTACGATGCATCTTTACGTTTTTTGTATTGCATATTGAAGTTCAAAGTCTTGCATATTATTCAGCCACAAAATTGCAGTTGCATATTAACGTTCAAAAAGTTGCATCCTAAAAAAGTTGGCTTTTATTACAAAAATGTCACCTTGCTTTTATAGCCTTTAGATCAACTCATCGGATGGTCAAGATGAGTTTGTAGTTTGTAAATTAAGGAGGCTTTGTATTTTATCTCTATTATATATATATATATATATATATATATATATATATATAGAGGAATGATCCTGTCCAGCCGGAGGGACAGGATCTTCCGTCCGGCCGCCGCCTTTTGGGGCGGTTCCCGGTGGAGTTTTTTGATGAAATTTTTATGGAATGTTCCTCATCAAGTCTAGTTTATCCACAAAAAATTTCAGCTAAAAATTCGATCGGGAAGGTAGTCAAATAATTTTTTGAAGATAACTGCTCCAACTTAAACATATAAAACGCAGTTATGTTTCAAAAAATTATTTGACTGCCTTCCCGATCGTATTTTTAGCTGAATTTTTTTGTGGATAAACTAGACTTGATGAGGAACATTCCATAAAAATTTCATCAAAAAACTCCACCGGGAACCGCCCCAAAAGGCGGCGGCCGGACGGAAGATCCTGTCCCTCCGGCTGGACAGGATCTTTTCCGTATATATATATATATATATATATATATATAGGTAAGAGATCAAATACAAACCATGCTTAAAATACTAACCTACAAACTCAATAATATGCAACACTTTGAACTTCAATATGCAGTAAAAATAATGTAAAGATGCACACTGTGAATTTCAATATGCATTACAAATAATATGCAACACTTTGAACTTTAATATGCAGTACAAATAATATGCAACACTTTGAACTTCAATATGCAGTACAAATAATGTAAAGATGCACAGTTTGTGATAGTTTGTAGGTTAGCATGGGAAGACTAGTTTGTATGTGATCTCACCCCTATATATATATATATATATATATATATATATATATATATGCACACATATATGTATATTTATATATATGTATATGTGTGTGTGTATTTATATATATGTATATATATGGCGTGGTTCAAATAAATAGTGGTCTCCCCGTGCAAAATAAGAATGCTTGTACTTATTGTCATGCATGGTGCACTTTTTGCTTCAAAGATTCAAAGATTTTGGTCAATTTTATACACATTGCTGATAAATTTTGAGCCACTTGATCATAAATTGAATGCATAAGATCTATTCTTACTTTTCATGGCAAGCACACTTTTTATTGGGAAAATGTGCAAATAGGCCCATGTACTAACAAAAAAAAGGTCAAATAAGCCCTTATTTAAGAGGCTCTGTCCGGCCGTCGCCATTTGAGGTGGTTCCCGGTGAAATTTTTTGATGAAATTTTTTGAGCATCTTATTCATCAAGTCTAGTTTACTTATACCAAATTTCAGCTAAAACTTCAATCGGGAAGGCATTCAAATGAATTCTTGAAGATAACTGCGCAGTTATTTTCAAGAATTCTTTTGAATGTCTTCCCGATTGAAATTTTAGCTGAAATTTGGTATGAGTAAACTAGACTTGATGAATAAGATGATCAAAAAATTTCATCAAAAAATTCCACCGGGAACCACCCCAAATGACGACGGCCGGACAGAACCTCCTAAATAAGGGCTTATTTGACCTTTTTTGGTTAGTAAATGGGCCTATTTGCACCTTTTCCTCTTTTTATTTGAACTAATCTATGTGTGTGTGGGGTCCCTAGTAGCGGTAAAAGTCTAAGGGGGGTGAAGACTTTAAAAGTTTTTGCTTTTCAATGTCTTTTTCTCTTTTGTAGTTTCTTCTAAACCTTCTGAAACGTAATAGAATGCATGGCAGAAATCTTGACCTCTTTTATCAATCGGGTTACACATTTTCTATTTATAGAAATAATGACTTTTTATTTATGGTAAGATGACCAAGGAGTGTTTCAAGAACTCTTTTGTGACTTTTGTTTGAGTGAGAGTCTATTTGAGGTTTGTGGAAAGATGGAAGGTACAACAAACCATTGAATAGATATCAGTTGGCTGGACAACGAGCTGAACAACAGGGTTACCAGCAGGCTGTTGGTAGGCTACTGTTAGCTTTGAATCTTAAATTCTTTAGATGGTTAAAATGGACTTTAAAAAGGATGTAATTAACGTTTAGCTGAACTAGATAGAGCTGTTTAAGCTTTGGACACTTGGAGGATATTAACTGTTCAACTTAATTAGGTATACAAACTGAGTTTGTATTAATGCAATTTAGTTGAGATTGAGATTGAATTGGCTTATGGGCGCAACGAGGACGTTGCGATCCTAAGTGGGGGTGATTGTAACACTTGAGATTAATTTAAGAGGATTAATAGTACTACTTATACTAACAAGATGCATCTCCTTTTAAGGGAGCTCATTATCTAAGAACTCCAAAGTTAAGTGTGCTTGCATGGGAGTAGTCTTGGGATGGGTGACCCTCTGGGTAGTTTCTCAGGGCGCGCATGAGTGAGAACAAAGTGCGCGGTAAAGACTAGTGGCGGTTTGTGAGGAAAGTACTAGAGGTCTGGAGTAACTACCTCGGGTCCTGCGAGGCCGGGTGTTACACTTAATGTATTGAATCTTGCTTCACTCAAAGATTTGGTGAATATATGAGTTAGTTAATTGTCAGTAGACACATAGTCTAACCTGATGCTCTTCTTTTCAACATTCTCTCGTATGAAATTAATCCTGATATCAATGTGTTTGGTTCTCGAGTGAAGCATTGGGTTTTGAGTGATTGTGATAACACTTGTGCTATCAGACAAAATGCTAACTTCCTTCGCTACTACTCCATAGTCTCTATGTTGTTGTTTCATCTAGAGTATTTGTGCACAGCAGTTGCCAACTGCTATGTATTTTGCTTCAGCAGTGATAATAGATATAATGTTTTGTTAGAGTTTTGTTTCTTGTTGAATAGAGACACTAATCTTCCACCTAACATCTGGCATGTTCCTGCGGTGCTTTTCTTATCAATCTTGTATCCATCAAAATCAAAGTCTAAATAGCCAATAAGTTCAAAACTTCTTTCAGTTGGGTATCGAAGGCCAACATTTTGATTGCTTTTTAGGTACCTAAGAATCTTTGTGACTGTAAGTAGATGACTTTCTTTGGATTTAGATTGGAATCGTGTATATACCCCACTTGATTAGGATCCACTTATACTTATGTGTCGTGTAAGATCAACATTTTTGTCATCTTCATCAATATCAAGTCCCTAGGATGTGTTGATGGGTATCTTTACTGATGTTTTGCCTTCCATCCTCAATTTCTTCATTAAATCTCTGGTGTATTTAGCTTAATTGATGGATATGCCTTGCCGAGTCTATTTGACCTCTAACTCTGTCAGCCCAAGAAATAGTTCAATTCTCACATTAAGCTCATTTCAAACTTCGATTGCATGAGAATTGAAAATTTCTCACATAGTGCCTTGTCTGTGCATCCAAAGATAATGTCATCAACATAGACTTTAACAAACAGGATGTTTGGCCCTTTTTGCAGTTTGAATAGAATATTGTCTACTTTTCCTTTAGTAAAGTTACTTTCTACCGAAAATTGAGATAAAGTCCCATACCATGCTCTGGGTGCTTGTTTTAGCTCATATATATAGCCTTCCTCAATCGGTATACTTTATCTTTCCCGTTCCTTATCTCAAAACCAGGAGGCTGATCCACGTATACCTCCTCGATCTTCTAGCAGGCCGTTGAGAAAAGCACTCTTTACATCCATTTCATAGACAATAAAGTGCTTGTGAATGGTATATGAAATGTAAATTATACATCTTGTATAATACATACTTGTAGAGTTACAAGAATTAATACATACTTGTATATTTGAAACTTAAAGCAAGTCTAATTATACAATATTGAAACACTACATACTTGTGAAATACTACAACAACAATTTTGGTGTTGTGTGTAGATATGATGTTGCAATGAGGATTAACACATTGGGAGCTATGAATGTCCTCAACTTTGCCAAGAATTGTTTGAAAGTAAACACTCTTGTCCATGTTTCCACTGGTGCGTACGTTTCGATTTTCAATCCATTTCTTTTATTCTAAAAAATATATGAATACATTTCTTTATTCTACTCCTTCCGGATAAAAAAAACATTTCTTTATTCTACTACTATCATATATAGATGCATGTATTATGTTATGATATGATACAACATTATAATTAAGCGCAACTACTAAGACGACATGTACGTAACTACACACACTACGTATTATATAGATGCGGATGCATTGAGTAACTTATCGATCAATGCATGCATATGTTACTTATGCGTGCACTCATGCATGCACAAGATAGAAGCTTAATTAGTACATGTAGATAGTGACCTTAAACCATGTTAATTAATTAAACAATAAAATTGCATGCATGCAGCATATGTTTGTGGTGAGGGGAGTGGAATTGTACTCGAAAAGCCACTGGTTCTGGGTGAGTCACTGAATGGAAGTCGTGATTTGGACATAGATGAAGAGAAACGTGTGATAGGAGAGAAGTTAATGGAACTTCACTCCCACAATGCAACAGAAAAAGAGGTGAAATCTGCTATGAAAGATTTGGGAATTCAAAGGTATGTGAGCTTGGCCTGTCCTACAAGACATGCATCCATCTCCTAGCTAGTTTACGCACGCACATCGATTCTAATGAAAATTCCTTTTAAAATATAATGAACAATCGATCATTTAATTTATAAATGACAACATGTATTTTAAAATTAAAGGGGGTCGGAGGATTCTCATTAAATAGAATTCAATCCTCCCCGACTTATAATATATATATATATATATATAGGGTTAAGATCAGATACAAAGTATGCTTCCCTTACAAAATGCAAAATCATCTCATCCGTCCAATTTTATAAAATTAAGGGTTAGATTTGTGTATAAATGTATATGCAGCCATATTAGTGCGGCAGTTTTGAATTTGCTCTCCACCAAATGTGGACATGCGGTTATTTCATTAATAGTGACTTAGTGAGTGGGTTTTATCATCTCTGCCGTTATTTCAATTCATATGGATGGCCAAGATTAATTTGCACTTTGTAAATTAGGATTAGTTTGTATGTGATCCTAAATCTATATATATATATATATATATATATATATATATATATATATATATATATATATATATATATATAGAAAAGTTCAGGTCCGAACGTTCAGACAGGACCCTCCGTCCGAACATCCCCGTTTGGGGCCCTTCCCGGTGGAATTTTTTGATGAAATTTTTTGAGCATATTCCTCATCAAGTCTAGTTTGTCCATACCAAATTTAAGCCCAAAATTCGATCGGGAAGGCATTCAAATAATTTTTTGAAGTTGACTGCGTTTCTATATGTACATTTTGACGCAGTCAACTTCAAAAAATGATTTGAATGCCTTCCCGATCGAGTTTTGAGCTGAAATTTGGTATGGACAAACTAGACTTGATGGGGAACATGCTCAAAAAATTTCATCAAAAAATTCCACCGGGAAGGGCCCCAAATGGCCATGTTCGGACGGCGTTCGGACAAAAACGTGCTGGACAGGATCATTTCTCTCTCTCCCTCTCTCTCTCTCTCTCTCTCTCTCTCTCTCTCTATATATATATATATATATATATATACTCCGTATATATATATATATATATATATATATATATATATATATATAGTTTTTTACCTATATATTACCAATAGTATGTAAGTTTACAAAAATGTGGCTCACTCTTCACTAATACAAATACGTAGGGCCAATGTTCTAAAATTCGCTAGGCGCTAGTCGGGCGGTCAAGCACCGCCTAGCGCCTAGGCGGGCTAGGCGCCGATTAGTCGCCGACTAGGCGGCCAACTCGGATTCAACATAATATCAAAAAATAAAATATTCTTGGCATAAAATACTACATTACACAAATAAAGTTTATCCCACTTTATTCATCCTTATATTCAATAATGTTAATGTGTTAAAAAGAAATGCAAAAAAGATATGCAATAATGCTGCCTATATTCATCCCACTTGGGATTTGGGAAACAATAATGCTATGAATAAAAGCAACAAAATAAATGTTGTTTGGAGGGGGTGGAATACCCATTAGCCAGTCCTATGTCCTTAGCAACCAATCACAACACAGTTATAAACAAAGCTAATCTCAACTAATTGCAATTGGTGCATGTAGAATTAATCATTTTTTCTAAAATTAGTTACCACAGTAATTCATACAGAGAGCTCTTGTCCATCGATGATTTAATGTGTACTCAAATTATGGTATGTTAACTTCAATAATAATTCGGGTATCTCTTTTAGAAAATCTACATGTCTGACTTACAGTAAATTGTTACTCGCCAGTGCTTTAAAAATAGACCTTTGTTGAGAATACAGACTTTTTGTTAAGCTGGATAGTAGCACTTTCTAGTCTCTTAATTAGAACGAAATGCAAATAACTGTTTTAAAAGGTTTTAAAAAACTTATATTTTGATTTTTTAGTCTCTACATAATTGTATTCCATGAACCATTAAACTGTCTAAGCTCATGCTCCACAAGTGACATAATATAGTAAGACTTGCACATAAGCGACATAAGTCAGTCACATAACTAAGCATTTACAGCCTCAAAATACCTACAAAAAACAGTAATGACTACATACACAAGCAAGTAATACCGAGTACATAATTGCAATCAAAGCATTATATGAAATTTCTCAATTGCGTGGATGCACAATTAAACATATGAATTTGCACTTCCGATGGTGAAGGTTGCACCCAATGTTTCTAAATTAATGCATTGAAAAAATAAGATCAAATTTAATTGATTTTAATTATCTTATTGAGTTCTCTTTCTAAATAGTATTAATCTGCACTTAACCTACACATTTGTGCACTTTCATAGATTTAAAATATAAATAATTATAAAATAAAAATTTATAGAAATATACAAGGATATTTGCAAACTATCTACTATAATGTGCATTTAAATATATGCAGTAGTGCATTATTAGTGACACTTTCAAAATTTTATATTGATACATATATGCTACTACCTCCGGTTTTTTTTAATCTTCACAGTTTGACTTCACACAAAATAAGGAAAGAAATTTGACTTTACTGTAGAGTACACTGTTGAGGCATTGTTTGACACTGTTTGGCACTGTAGAGACACTGTTTGGCACTGTTGAGACATTGTTTGGGACTGTTTGGCACTGTTTTGATGTAGATTTCTTTGCCAAAAAAGGAAATAAGGAAGTGTGAAGTTTATTTTAGACCGTCCCAAAAAGGAAAGTGTGAAGTTTATTAAAAACCGGAGAGAGTATTAGTTTGCACTTTGTACGCATTATGTTACACTTTATTTATAAACTTCTGCCTGTAAGAGTTGTGCACACTCATACATAAAGGTTGTGCACACTCATATGCTTTAAACAAATAATAACAGTGCAAACTTTTAACTAATAAGAGCACTTTAAATACATATAAATGTGCACTATTATTACATCGTACTTTTAGAACATAGAAAAAAATAAAGATTAATTAAAAGTTTGCTCGAAAAAAAAAGATTAATTAAAAGTAATATGATAAACCTTATCAAAAGAAAGAAAATATCAATATAGAAACACATGTAAGTCAATTACACACATAAGTCAATTGCCTAATAATAAAGATGTGGCATTAATTGCAATGATTGATACGTAGTGTTAAATATAGAAATATTCATAAAATGACCAAAGGACCCTATAAGTGCGTACACGTTCCATTGAAAAAAATTGATGATCTAATGGTTCTCATTTATTCTTTTTCCCTCTCCTAAGATTAAGTTCTCACATGAACCTAAATCTATAGGTTCAAATGAGAACCATGCTTAACGTGAGAACGTGAGAACTCTACTTTTAAGCAGATGTGATGTACTATATCATGTATATGTTGCATATTTTCATGTTGACAAAATATTTAGAAATCTGTCACCACATTTATTAGATATTAGCACGTTTTGATCAAAATTTAAAAGTGCATTAGATGAGCCTCATAGTGCACCGAGATGTGTTAAAAGTGCATGGTTCTCACATTCTCACGTTAAGCACGGTTCTCATTGGAACCGCTCCATATATATATATATATATATATATATATAAAGGGAGCAGATCAGGTGAGAAGTGCTCTTAGGCTGAGAACTGCGAAGTTTAAATTTTAGACTAAATATAGGAACTTTTAACCAATAAATCATAACTTATAGACCCCTCGAAAATAATTACGAAAATGTCACCGCAAAAAAATAATTACGAAAACCTAGAAAAAATTTTGACGCGGTGGCATTTTCGTAATTATTATGGAGAGCTTTATAAGTTTTCATTTATTGGTTATAAGTTCCTATATTTAGTCTATAAGTTTACTGCGTTGTAAGATCAGTAGCAAATCCAAGGGCTAAAATTATTTCTCACTTCTCAATTTAAGGAGCACTTCTCACCTGATCTTTTGTGTGTGTGTGTATATATATAGGGAAAAGATCATGTGAGAAGTGCCTCATAAAATGAGAAGTGAGAAGTAATCTCAGCTCTTGAATTTGCATCTGATCTTACAACGCAGTAAACTTATAGAGTAAATATATGAACTTATAACCAATAAATCATACTTATAAAGCTCACCGTAATAATAACGAAAATGCCACCGTGTCAAAAAAAATCCAGGTTTCCGTAATTATTTTTTTGCGGTGGCATTTTTGTAATTATTTTCGAGGGGTTTATAAGTTATGATTTATTGGTTAAAAGTTCCTATATTTAGTCTATAAGTTTAACTTCACAGTTCTCAGCCTAAGAGCACTTCTCACCTGATCCGCTCCCTATATATATATATATATATATATATATATATATATATATATATATATATATATATATATATATATATATATATATATATATATATATATATATTAGTTTTTGTGTCGCGCGTTGCGCGATTGAGCCAATGCCCAATACGTTTATAAAATCTGTTTTTTAGTTAGTACTAAAATTATTACTATAAACTTTCTAAGTATTGAAACCAAACTATTTGAATCAGACAGAACAAATAACTACTAACTCATCTCGTATAAAGACAAGAGTTAATTATCACCTCTAATTCAACTCACTAAATCAAAGAATTGACAGCTAAACAATGAAACTAAATGTAGCACTTAAGGTCAGGGGTTTCGAATGGTAAGAATGACACTAACTGTAGAGGATGAAAGAGTATTATAGTCTAAAATTCTAGTTCTAAAGGAGGTGAGTTTAACTTTTCAACGGAGTGGATTTATATCTGGGTGTCAAGTTTTTGACTTTAACAATCTCTTAAGAGTTTGGAAGTACGTATTACTATGGATGCATGAGAACCATAGTCATTCAAGAACAATAGAAATAACGCAAAGTATTTAAAAAAAAGTGGATAAATAAGTTAGTCAAATATATACATAAAAAAGTTACATATATAAGTGTATGAGACTATGAGGTGGACTTTTTATTTCAAATTACAACTCAAAACAAAGTAGTCATGTTATAAATAAAATAAATTATTGCACCGTTCTGAGTGTATCATCTAAGAACAACAATGACAAAGAAAAAGATCAAACTAACATTAGCGATTAACATTATTTCATAGCCAATAACAAAAATAGCAAAGTGTTTCACCACAAAATAGACGTTCATTGACATATCAATAACATAAGGAGAACCATTCTCCAAACACATGGTTCCAATACCACAAACAATTTGACAATATATATAATTGAATAGAGATTAAATTAGCATTATAGGTGTAAAAACAAACAAGTACATGGAAACAAACTTATAGTTAATTTTGACCCCGTTTGGTAACTCATAATTTCAGTTTATCATCCTTATTAACCAACTTTTTTACCAAACACGTACTTTTTCATCTTTTGGCTTAAAAAGGGCTAAAATGAGTTTTTTCAAGTGAAAACTTTTGTTTAAATTAAGCACTTTAAAGCTAAAAGTTGGAAGCAAGTGGAGAGGGGCCTTAAGAGCCCGTTTGGTAGCACGAAAATCGGCTGATTTGGCTGATTCTGCTGAAATTTATGAAGTTCTGGCTGAAGTGGCTGCATTGGCTGATTCTGATGATTTAGGAAAAAAAATATTTTTAAAACATATTTTATTAATAAAATAAAGAAAAAATTATATGTAAAAATAGCCAAAGTGGTCATCTACATTCTACAGTAACTTCATTTAATACATCCAGAAAACTAACTTCAACCTTACGTTATCTGCTTATTATACAATTCGAAAACTTTTGTTTAAATTAAGCACTTTAAAGCTAAAAGTTGGAAACAAGTGGAGGGGGGCCTTAGGAGCCCGTTTGGTAGCACGCAAATCGGCTGATTTGGCTTATTCTGCTGAAATTTATGAAGTTCTGGCTGCATTGGCTGCATTGGCTGATTCTGATGATTTAAGAAAAAAATATTTCTAAAATATATTTTATTAATAAGATAAAGAAAAAATTATATGTAAAAACAGCTAAAGTGGTCATCTACAGTAACTTCAGCCAATACATCCAGAAAAGTAACTTCAACCTTACGTTTTCTGCTTATTACACAATTCAACGCGCGAAAGCAAAAGTTACGTGTTTGGTGAAAAAGTTGGCTGATAAGCCTGATAAACCGAAAAACAGTGTTGCCAAACAGCCTCTAAAAGAGCTTTTCACTTTTCTATTACACAAAAAACACTTTTTTTACCAAACACCACCAACATTTACTTTTTAGAAACACCTTTTTCAAACACTACTAACTTTTACTATTAAGCACTTTCTTCAAAATCACTTTAAAAATTCACCTTTTAAAGTAGAAACAATCGGAAAATAATTTAATACTTTTCTGTTTGAAATGACTAACATTACCGTGGAATACTATTTCAGTTATTTTCATGTAATGTTTTCTTAATTTTTTATTAATAAGATATAATTTAAACAAAGTAGCATTTCATCTTCTACATAACATATACGGTGACCTAGAGAAAGGTTTTAAAATGCCATATTAAATGAAAACATTACATAAAAATCAATCCCATTAAGTACATAGAATAATTAAAATACGAAAGCCACATATAGGATGTTAATAGGAAACTTAACAGTTGGTAACGGAGTAAGTAGTAGAAATAAGAGTAATGATGAAAGGTACAATAATTAAAACAAATTGTATAAGTCTAACTTGCTTTAGTGTTACATCAACATTTTTATCATTCCTAAAATGCCCTAACCATCATTGGTGTTTATAAGTTTTTAGATATATATATATAGGCCATTGATCTTGGCCATTGATGTGAAAAAATAGATTGAAGAGATCAAATTTTAAGTTGGAAACGCGGTGGCATTTTTGTAATTATGAAGAACTTTTATTGAAAATTTTGTAACAAATGTGCATCAGAATAGTCAAAAAGTGCACACGTAGTGCACAAAAGTGTAATACGCTACAAAGTAAAAATTGCACAAGCTGAAAAATTTTAACAATCATTTTTTACACGCATGAGTGCACTTTTAATTAATAACTATCCACTTTATACTTTTATAGTATAAACGTTTGCACATTTTTTAAAATAATCTCTTGTGTTTAAAGTTCATCTAATCCATCCATTTTCAAGTGATGGAAGGCCAAGATTTGTTCTCACTTTTCATGGGAAGACTACTTTTTACTTGAACCCACCCCTATATATATATATATATATTCATAACTTATAGACCCCTCTAAAATAATTACGAAAATGCCACCGCAAAAAAATAATTACGGAAACCTGGATTTTTTTTTGACACGATAGCATTTTCGTAATTATTATGGAGAGATTTATAAGTTATGATTTATTGGTTATAAGTTCCTATATTTAGTCTATAAGTTTACTGTGTTGTAAGATCAAATGCAAATCCAAGGACTGAGATTACTTCTCACTTTTCATTTTAAGGGACACTTTTCACCTGATCTTTTCCCTACACACACACACACACACACGCTCGCTCGCGCGCACACACACACACACACACACACACACACACACACACACACACACACACACACACACACACACACACACACACACACACACAAGTGGTCTTCCCGTGCAAAGTGCGAAATTTACACTTTTGCATGTTTCGCTTGCACTTTTGCTTGTTTCCGCTGCACTTTTCACCATTTCGATTTTGGCCAAATTCGGCCAAAATGACGGTGGCAGTTTTGTAAATAACCCAATTTTTTTCTCCACCGCGAAAAAATGCAACAAAAACAAGAAAACGTGCAAATGAAACATGAAAAAGTGCAAATTTCGCACTTTGCACGAGAAGACCACTTTTTATTTGAACCATCCCCTATATATATATATATATATATATATATATATATATATATATATATATATATATATATATTATAGAATAAAGATCAAATGAGAACATTGCTTAACGTGAGAACACCACATTTACCCCAACGTATTGCACAATGAAGCTTGTATATTGCACTTTTCACATGTTCACTATATTTACCAAAATGCCATTGTGTTTATTTAATAAAGGTTCAATTCGAGCAAATTGAAAATGTGCAACAAAATAGCTCCATTGTGCACCGCATTGATTTAAATGTGAGTGTTCTCACGTTCTCACGTTAAGCATCGTTCTTACTGGAACCGCACCCATTATATATATTACGTTCTTATGAAAAACTGTGTGTGTAGGGCAAAGCTGCATGGATGGCCAAACACATACTCTTTCACAAAGGCAATGGGTGAAATGTTGGTATTGGCCTTTAAAGACAATCTATGCGCTATAATCTTACGTCCAACAATAATAACTAGCACCTATAAAGAACCGTTTCCTGGCTGGATTGAGGGTGCTAGGTAATACATATTGTCCAACTTCATCTCCATCTAATCACGCATATCCTATATACTTCCTCCGTTTTTTTTAGTTGCAACGGTCAACATTTCACACTTGCTAACGCACGTCTTTGACCATAATTATATCTTAATTTCTATTAGTAAAAAAAAATCAGATTTTGAAATTTGTAATGAGATGAATTGAAAAATAGTTTTTTTTAAAATAATTTTTATAAAATAATAACGTAAAATGTAGTCAAAGTAGAACATATGAATAGCGTAAAATTTAACATGTTGCGATTAAAAAGAAACGTGGGATAGTATAAGTTTGTGTATTTGTATTTATAATATATACTCCGTATATATATTCTATTGTTCTACGTACTTTTAGTTTTATTATTATAGTCATGTTTTGTATGCTTTTTGTACAGAACCATGGATATCTTTGTACTAATGTATGGCAAAGGAAAATCAAATTTCATGATTGGCGATCCAGACTCTATACTTGATGTGGTAAGTATGCACAATTAAATCACTTAAACTTAAATATATAATTCGACCAGTAGGACACCGTATGTGACTCTCTCTAGGGTATGTTGCGCTTCTCCAATGGACTTGTTCTTTTGGACTTATTCTAATTTCACAATAGATTTCTTTTGGACTTATTCTAGTCTTACCAGAGATCAAACTAAATACGTTTAAACAAGCATACATCAGGCCCAAATAATCTAGAACATAACTAAGCGAACCAAATCAAATAAGAATAGACAAATTCAGATCATATTAGATCACACCATGTTAACACATCAAATTTGAAAATATAACACTAAATCAGACTAGACCAATTCAACCATATCAAGTCATACAAGAATAAACTAGACATGACCTCACTTATACATACAAGACCATATTAGACTAGATCACAAGGGACAATAGCATCATGATATGATGTGATGTGATGTGATGTGATGTGATGTGATGTGATGTGATGTGATGTGATGTGATAGAGCTATAGACATTTGATTATAGAGTAGAACTTGAATAGCATAGTGTACCATTTGATATTGCTTTGAGTTACACCAACACATTTTACATATCCAAAGAATCATTACTATCATTCACATTCATAAAATTTTAGATTATATACATAAAATGGAACAGTGTCACCAAACTCTGGACGGGAAGTGTGAACACACGCACTTTGGCTGAATTAGATAAACTAAGTTGAGGATGCATAAAATAACCTCAAGAGAATAATAATATATATGAAGCAAATGGCAGTAGGCAATTTCATAACTGAAATTACTTCAGTGCTTAATAAGATATAGAGTTTTTTCATAACTTGCTGCAGAAAACAAAATGTAAAATCAGCTATGTTTGATTATTGTACTCTCTTTTTTTGCCTAAGGCACTGTGACTCGGATAGAGACAACCTGAATAACTAAATATATTGACCCGGCCAGTATAAAGGTTGTAACACCAGCATACGAATAGAAACCTCGACCTATAATAAGATTGATGTACCCGGAAATTCAATACTACTTCCTTTGTCCCATTAATTTTTTTCATGTTCGATTTGGATCAGAGTTTAAGAAAATGATAATAAAATGAAAATGTAGTGTTATGGTTAAGTAAGAAAAATGTAAACGAATTTTAGTCACACAAAACTTTTCATAAAGGGAAATGAGATAATTTTTTAGAACATATCAAAATGGTAAGTGAAAAGAATTTTATGAAAACGAAGAAATGTGATTTTAGATGATCAAACATGTATTACTGAACTACATTTATTTTATAAATCATCCATTTTTTTGTATACATTTAAAAAGTGAAATGGAATTTATAGTATAGGATTTTCAACTAATATATGATTTTTAATTACGATTAAATAGGCATTATGTTGAATAAGCATATTTGTACTTTATACCATTGTCTAGACAATATTCTTAAGCTTACATACGATATATATCAGCTGGTATTTTGAAGAAAAAAACCAATACCTATATAATAGTACATTTTAATAGTGCAGGGGTCTGAGTGAAATACATTGGACCTCAAGATGGTCATGTCAATGATAATTTAACTCACAATAAACTCTTTATCTATTAGAGTCAGGGCAGAGGGATAAGAGATCAACCAAGGCTCCGGTCCACCCCAAATTTGAAATTTATTTTTATTTTTAATGTAAAATTTATCTAAAAAAATCTTTGTACTGGTCTACCCCGACTTTTGCTTCTTGCTACTCCTTTGGTTAGAATTTCCCTAATTTTAAATATATTAGGAATAATATCATCCCGTGCATCGCACGAGTACTATATAATTGTTTTTTTAAAAGAAACTACTTATATTAAGAACAAAACAGTCACAATAACACCCAAGTCACAGGATCTAAACTTCCCTCTTTCCAACCCATACCAAAAGCCCTTCGACCCCCTCACGTCATGATCAGACATAGAATAGTCCAGCCCGCAAGGAGCGAGACTATTCGCTGAACAGTGAGAGCATAGAGACGATTAGCGGCTGAATTAGTCTGATTGCCTCCAACAACTTTTCTACCAACAACCAACAAGGAAAACACATACCCACCCCCTTATTGTGCAAAACAAAAACAACAAGCAAATTGAGTCTCAAGTAAAAAAAGCAATAGAAATAAAACTGCATTGGATGGAAGTCTCTGGTTTCCATCCTTGCTGGATCCTCCTGCCTAATCTTCAAATGCATGTCACGCGGGCATGGTAGCCCACCTCCTCCCCATTTTTTGTCAATCCCCTCTCTAATTTTTTAACCCGGTAAGTTTCCAAAAGCCCGCAGGTCTTTTGGGGGTGGGGGGTAGGGAACACCCCACCAATTTATTAGAATATAAAGAAAATAAATAGAGTAGGAGGACCAAACCAAAGCCTACTCGAATTTAAATAACATAAGGAAAACTGATCAAATTTTAGAATACCAACAAAGTGATTAAAATGATGATCATTGGTTTTTTACCGAAATATTTCGGTGAGCTAAATACTCAGAAGCCCTATTTATACTCGGGTGTATGTGCGTGATAGACCATTTGTGTGTCATGAGTCTCTTCTTGATATTTTGGATGTGTGGCCAACAACTCCAATGGTGGATTGAGATACTTGTGATCCCCTCGAAGACTTCTCTGTTACCTACCTCTATTATAATATTATTGGTACTTAGAGTCTTGACAATAGGGATAAGATAAATCAAGGCCTCATAAGTGGCAGTTGTGCCATTCCCATGGGATGTCAGATGGGTTTCATGCTTAACGTACTTGCCATATTCATCACGAATGAGGGCAGCCGTACGGATGAGGTTCGGTTTGAGGTTCCGAGAAGCCATGTTAATTCTGAAGAATGTGGGTGGTGATTTTTGCCAAACGTTGAGACTAGGAGGGTTTTTTTCCTTCCTTGGGGTTACCGTACATATGTTGATCGGGATATAAGGGTTGGTACTAGGGAACAAATTGACAACCGACATGGCAAACATTTCAGTTTTAATAACATTAATGGCCTCAGTTAGGAAAGGCTTTTTATCATCAAAAATAACTTTGTTCCGGACCTTCCAGAGCTGCCATAAGATAATATTAGGGACTGTGATGTTCAAATCCACAATCGGCTCTCTAGAGTTATTGTACCACCCTAAAATGTAGTTCCAAATGGTAGTATGGTTTGGCGGCCTGAATTTGAAAATAGTTTGAAAGTGATTCCAAATCTCTCTACTGAAGGGACAATTTAGAAAATAATGATCAATGGTATCCTGGTGAGGGCAGATGGGGCATTTAAAAGGGCCCAGAATATCAATTTGGTTTAGTTTGCTTTCAAAGGCAAGATTTGATTTTCAAGCCACCATATAAAAAAAGAGATTTTTTTCCACCATTTGCAATGGAGACAAAGATTCATTATCTTTTGGCTTGAGAATATGATGGAATAAAGAAAAATGACTCTCTAAACTGTCTGCGCTTCTTTGTTATGAAGCAACAGTCAATCTATGCAATTTTGGACGCGATTTTCACTATGGGTCATCCAGAAATAGTCTCTCTGTGCTTTAGTACATGGGTAAGACTGCATACATCCGACCTCCCCTTACTCCACCGTAGGTGGGAGCCTTTGCAGCACTGGGGTAAATGAAAATGATATGAAATGTTCGTGTATTCCAAACATAATCAGCTTTTGATTTTGAGCTCCGCCTTTGCCGAATAACATCATAGGCGTTAGAAAAACTGAATTTGCCATTGGGGTTTGGTTTCCAAATGTGAGCATCCTTACTGTCATTGAAGGAGATGTGCAAGGATGTGATTTTGTCACACATGTATCTGGGCAGGTAAGAGGCAACCGTATCAAGTAGATTACCACCTGGCATGGTGCTACAGATGTTCAGGTTCCTGATACTCAGTGGGACAGTTTCCTGGTGGTAGGTGTAAAGAGGCCCCAATTCAGACCAGTTCGTGTACCAGAACGGGCTGTTTCCTTGATTAACCTGCATTTGACAATTGTTGTTGAAAATGTGATTGACAGATTTAATGGCATTGTGCATAACAGAAAGGGAAGTATTTTTGAGGGAATTATACCAATAAGCCCATAGACCCAAATCATTATTCCAAAGAAGTTTAAGAAAAAAGTTTTTTTTGAAAATAATTAAGGTTTCTGAACCCCAGGCCATTTTCATTAACCGGATAGCAACACTTTGTCCAACTTCTCCAAGTATACCTATTGTGGTCAGAATTCTTATCTCAGTGAAAATTGGAAAATTTCCTTTCCGTTTTATAAATGATATTCCTAGGGAGAGGGGAAACAACCATGGGGAAGGGAACTGAGCACATGTTTAATTAAAATCAACCTACCACCAACAAAAAGAAGCTTGTGCTTCCAGCCCGCTAATTTTTTATCAAACTTGTCTAAGATATGCTTAAAATATAAATTTAGGGTGCTGCCAGTAAAGATATTGGCCCCCAGGTATCTCCATCCCCTCTCTATCTCCATGTCCGCTTGCAGAGAGCCGAGTCTTCCTCTGCTTGGTCAACCCTCATACGCTTCTGCTCAATCTTCTCTCCTGTAGCATGATATTCTTGCTCCTTATGTGAACCTCTGTAACACTTGAGATTTAATATAAATGGATTAATAGTACTACTCATAACAAACAAGGTGCATCTCCTTTTAAGGGAGCTCATTAGCCAAGAACTCCAAAGTTAAGCGTGCTTGCACGGGAGTAGTCTTGGGATGGTGACCCCCTGGGAAGTTTCTCAAGGCGCGCACGAGTGAGGACAAAATGCGCGGAAAAGGCTAGTGGCGGTTTGTGAGGACAGTACTAGAGGTCTGGAGTAACTACCTCGGGGCCTGCGGGGCCGGGGTGTTACAAGCTCCGTGACCATCCACACTCGATGCATTGTTGCTGCCTTCACCTTCCTTCCCTTTTCCTTTACCCACTGGAACTAACCACTTATTCCCGCTCGACAATACTCTCCCCTTCGAAGCTCTCAGTTCCGGTCCAAACAGTGTCTCCCTCTTTCCCCACCCCGTTGGGGGAGCGTGGGCAGTACCTTTCTGCGTGCCCAATAATACCACATGCAAAACAGAAACTATGGAGTTACTCATATTTAAACCTGACACAAAAAATTTCTCCTACATCTGTGTGCAAAAATAGCTTCCGTTTCAAGGGCCTGGTCAGATCGATGTTAACTCTTTCCACGCAATTACCAATTTTTATTGCATTTTTCATTGAGAAACATCCAACCTGAACATCATGAATCTGCAACCAGGAGTCAATCCTTTTCAGTGGTATCTCTAACGGTAAGTCTCCTTGCCAACCTATCCAATACAAGGAGATTTTGCTCGAAAATTCAGGGGTCCTCCTCTAGGACCCTTAACATATCATTTTCGTTATAAAACTGAAACATGTACCTTCTGTTTTCTAACTCAGTAATAGTGACACCCCTGACCGATTTCCAGATATTTGTCATTATATCACGAATAAAGGAGAAGTGTATGGATTTTTCAGAAGTGATTGTCCCTACCAACGACAAGCTAACTTCGTCACTGTCAGGTGCCGTAGCCTCTACTCGTAAGAATTCATCCCCATCTTCCATCTCCATGTTTCCATACACACTAGCCAACCTCTCGATCTCTCATTGTTCATTGATATTCGCCATCAGTCCTTTCCCTAAGGGTATTGTGCTTGTACTGCTGTTGCCGCCAATTGTCTTGCTCATGCTGCCTGCTTGTTCCGTCTCCACCCTCCACTGTAGCCGATGCTGGAATTTTTTTTTCTATACTCGTCGATGTCGCAATTGGGCTGCATATCCTTAGCATCCAAAAACCCGTCGAAATCCTCTCGCAAAGAAGCCGCTGAAGTCCTCATGCAAGAAATGCCTAATCCTCACGCACGCAACCCTAGAAGCTCTAGTAGCGGCCGGCCGCACTATACTACTCCCTCCGTCCCTAAATAAACTTCCAACTTTCCTTTTTCGTCCGTTCCAATTAAAACTTCCACTTTCCCTTTTTGGTAAAGAATTTGTGTTTCACAACATTTCTCACACATTTCTCTCTCCTCTTCACAACTCTCCACCACACAATACTCACTATCTTAAACTGTGTGCCCAACCCATATGGAAGTTTTATTAGGGACGGAGGTAGTAATTGTTTTAACATAGTGGTTTATAAATTTATTTATTTTTTATAATAACTAATTGACATTCTTTTCCGCTTTATGTCTATGCGATTAAGGATGCTCTTACTTGGACTATAATCCGTCCCAAACAAGACTAGACCAGACCAGACCAGATCAGACTTGGATAGTTATAAAAATACAAAGAGACCAGACATTACCATACCAGACCAGCAAATTACAGTCCAAGTAAAAACATCCTAACAAGCTTGTTAGATTGAATTATTCATTTTTATGGGATAATACATGTTAAATCTTTCAATGATTTTGATCCTACTTACCTCTAGCGTTGTATACGAATCAAATAATTTATGCTCAATTCGGGATTCGAATTTGTATAAGACGATTCAAATTTGAAAAATTCAGATGCAAATACAAATAAGAATACTAAATTTGGTTCGAATTGTTATCAAATACAAACACGAATATCAGTCTATTCGATTCGAATGTTAATCGAATATATTCGATTAATAACAGTGACAATATTAAAATAATAGTAATAATAGTAGTAATAATACTATAATAACATTTAAAAGTTAGTTGTAGCTTCGAAGTGTAGCTCATATGTACATTTACGTATGCACATTCCAAATCAATTTGTAATAAATCAGAAGTATCATAAGGAAACAAATAATTTTAATTCACTTCGTGATTTGGATTCACAAATTATGATTTAAATTTGAAAATGTAGAATATAAATACGAATACAAATCGGATTTTTTATTCAAACATCTTTCAAACACGAATAGAAATGATTATGTATTTGATTCGAAGAATAATCAAATATATATATATATATATATATATATATATATATATATATATTCGTTTATACATAAAAAAAAATAAACTATTTAGTATGTGTGTGCATCAACTAATCACTATATGTGTGTTTAGTATAAACTATACATCTAATGGTGTTTTTTATCACCAATGCTAAATATCTAAAATAAAATTAGAGTCGTTTGACTTTGATATATACAGTTATTAACACTATATGTGTGGATTAGTTTGTTTTTTTTTTACTCCAGGGGGGTCTGGGGGAGGGGGGCTGAGGGGAGCCTGGAGTAATCAGGACTGAAACTCACTCAATTGAGTTTCAAACCCTTGTGTGCCTAGCGGGATTCGAACTCGAGACCTCCCACTAGGCACGGTAACCTCGCAACCAGCTAGGCTGGAGTGCTTGGTTGTGTGGGTTAGTGTTTATTTCAAAAACTTTGAAGTATATTTATGTATAGTAATCATAAAATTGATTCACTTTGGTATATTGTGCACAACCTAAAAATGTATCGATCCATTAAATACTAAAAAAATGAAATGTAACAAATTAAACTTTAAACACACATATTAAGTCATAACATGCATTTATAATATAAGAAAATATAGAAAAAGATGTTTTAAAGTGATACAGAGTATTTGACTAAAAAAATTCTTATGATCAAATCGATTTGATATTCATATACGAGTATGATTCATTAACTATTCGTATTGTTAAACAAATACGAATAAAAATTGAAATTAATATATTCATTTCATATTCGTATTCGTATTCGAAAAAATTAAACAAATACAAATACAAAATCTCACTATTCAACTTGATTCGGTTCGTTTACAACCCTACTTACCTCGCACCCGTCCTGACCCGATCCAACTTTATACTAACCCGACTTTGAGATATATCTCATTATTCACATCGCACTCCCTCAAGAAATGGTCTGGCACGATACCAAACAACTTTCTACACAAAAGTAGGAACTTAAGTTTATTTGAACAATTCAAATTGGTAACCATAACATTATTCTGAGTATCATGTAGAAACGGTAATCAGTTACGACTTAAAACCTTTGGCAAGGAAAGCTTTAGTGCTTAATTGTGACCTTCTAAATTGTACTATAGTATTTCAATGTTTTCCTAAAGTTTTAAGTCTTAATGGAGCGTTTTTTAATTTAAGAGCTTAATTGACTTTTTGATATACTATGAGAGCCTATTTTGACAACTTTCCATGCAACTACAAGTAGACATTGCACTAAATTATAAAAGAAAAATAACAATTGAACTAAAATACTCCATTTATCCCGTGAAAACTTGATCAATTTAATTTTTGTTAGTCAATGATAATAAAATTATGACAATAATTTTGGTTATTATATTTGTGTGAAATGAATAACTATATATATAATATACTTTTGTGAAAATACTTTGGACAAAGAATATTTTGATGCGATTTCCATATTTGAAACAATTTCATATTAAAATATCATTATCAAGAAAAGTCAAGCTATCCCAATAATTAATTTACTTATTTAAACGTATGTACTACTCCATGCAATGTAATCACTAATCAATGGTATGCACAGATTCCTGTTGATATGGTGGTGAACTCAATGCTGGCAGCGGTGGTGCACCATCGGGAGGGGTCATCGCCGTCCTCTTTTATTTATCACGTTGGCTCCTCCGATAATAATGCATGCAACCCTCTGAAACTTTGCGATGTTACAAGTATGATGTATCGTTACTTCACCAATAACCCATGGACTTCACCGAGTGGAGCGGCTGTCAAAGTTCGCCAATATGTATTGCTGCCCAGCATCACAAGCTTACGCCGATACATCACAATTCATTATCTTCCCCTGTTGCAGGTATATATGTTCATTCCTTAGCTTGGCCCTTTATCCATCATTTATATCACCCCCACACACATATATATAAGGAGAGAAATGATTATATTTTTGGAGCATTGGCCGGATATGGGTAATGTGCAGTATGTCAAAGTGAAACAAAAAGGTCACATGAGTCTTCTACTATTATGTCACGTTTTATATGTCTATAAAGAGCCCGTTATCTTCCAAAAATCATTTGATTGCCTTCCCGATTGAATTTTTAGCTGAAATTTGGTATGGATAAACTAGACTTGATGAAGAAGAACATGTTCAAAAAAATTCATCAAAAAATTCCGCCGGAAACCACCTCAAAACGTGGTGACCGGACGACATTTCTTTTAATAATTTATTTAACTGACTTCTTGATTAGATTTTAAATTGAAATTTTGTGGACAAAAATGTAAACACATGAAGAACATCATTACAAAACCACCTCAAACGGTGGATTGCGCACGGCGGTTCCGGTCAGGATATCCCGACAAGAACGGTATTTAATATATATGGGGCAATATATATTTAGTTGAACCGTCGTGCGGAATCTGCTGTTTGAGGTGGTTCCCGCTTAAAATTCTATCGGTAGGTCAGTTAAATATACTACGTATTATTTAAAAGAACTGTGTTTTTAATACTACCTCCGTCCCAAAAAGGTTTGCCATATTGACCTTTCTTGGTCAATGATGGAAAACTTTGGATAATGATTTCAATTATTATACTTGTACATAATGTATAAATTTTATACTTTTATGAAAGTATTTTGAATAAGGAACATTTTGATATAATTTTCATGTTCCAAATAATTTTGTATTAAAAAATATCATTGGTCAAAGTTGATTGTCATTGACCAAGAAAAGTCAATTTGGCGAACCTTTTCGGGACGGAGGGAGTATATAAAATGTGCGGTTCGTTTCAATAATTTATTTAACTGACTTCTCAATTAAATGTTTAACTTAAATTTTGTGAATATAATCTACACTTCATGAAAAACATTATCACGAATTTCATAAAACCATTCCACCGGAAACAACCTCAAACGGCAGATTCCGGACGACGGTTCCAATCATGCATATTGTTTTTCAATAATCTATTTAGCGGCCGTCTTGATTGAGTTTTACACTGAAATTTCGTAGACATATTCTACTTCATGAAGTATATGCTCACAAAATTCATAGAAAAAATCCACCCATATGAACCTCAGGCGATCAGACGAATTTCTGTCAGTCTTTCTAGATCGGAAGATTACTACACACACACACACACACATATACACATATATAGAATAAAGATCAAATGAGGACAGTGCTTAACGTGAGAATATGAGAATACCACATTTACCCCAATGTGTTGCACAATGAAGCTTGTATATTGCACTTTTTCCCGTTTTCAAAATATTTACCAAAATGACACCGTGTTTATTTAATAGAGACTTAATTCGAGCAAATTGAACATGTGCAACAGAAGAGCTCATTTGTGCACCACATTGATTTAAACTTGAGTGTTCTCACGTCCTCACGTTAAATATCGTTCTCATTGGAACTACACCCTACATATTTACACACACACACACACACACACACACACATATAGACACACACACACACACACACATATATATATATATATATACACATATAAAAATGAAAAAAATACACAAAAAAAATGAAAAGAAATCAAGTTATCCTGGGATTCAGCCCACCATAGCCTATATGTAGTGTGAATAATTGGCACAGGTTACCCTAATGAGGGTCCTGAGAGATGTATTTATAGTAAAATATTGAGTTTCCTAAATACAGAATGATTCCTAATATATATCGGCTATTACACCCCCTCAAACTGTACGGGAGAAACAACGCGCAGGTTGTCCTTTAAAAAATGAAATTGATGACTAGAAAGACTTTTAGTAAAAATATCAGTTAGCTGAAGATGAGTAGGAATATATGTAACACGTAAATTTCCATGAGCCACTCTCTCACGAACAAAGTTATAGTCAATCTGAATGTGCTTGCTCCGAGCGTGCATGCTGAACTAGATTGGCCGTCAAATATGAAGCCGAAACATTATCACACAAAAGCTGAACCGGGGCACGAATTGGGAAGCCTAGCTCGAACAAGTGGGAAGGAATGTGTATGGTGTCCTGAACCGTATATGCAATGACACGATACTCTGCCTCAGTAAAAGATTTGGATACAGTGGGCTGCTTTTTGGATTTCCAAGAAACAAGATTAGGACCCAAGAAAACAGCATTCAATGGTAGAGCGAGAGCTATTCGGACAACTAGCCCAATCGGCATCAAAATGAGTCAGGATGCGCAAAGGCGCATTAGACTTCTGAAGCCATAATCCATGATCAAGAGTTCCCTGTAAGGATGTTTTTACTTGGACTATAATTTGCTGGCCTGGTCTGATCTGGTCTAGTCTGGTTTGGTTTGATTTCTTTGTATTTTTTACAACTATCCAAGTCTGGTCTGGGACGAATTACAGTTCATGTAAAAACATCCTAAATATCTGAAAATACGGTTGACCGCAAGCATATGAGTAGTACGAGGAGCATGCATAAACTGAGACACTAAATGAACTGCATAAGTAATATCAGGTTGTGTAAAAGTTAAATACCGTAATGCACCTACCATACTGCGATAATCAGTAGCATCTGCTAAGAGCTCACCATCTGTGACAGAAGGAGATGTGCGAGTGGCTAAAGGAGTTCGAACATATTTTAATGTGTGAAGGTGGAAACGATGAAGAAGATCAGACACATATTTTTGTTGTGAGAGAAACAAACCTGTCGAAGTGCGAACTGCCTGAACGCCTAAAAAAATAATTTAGATCACAAAGATCATTTATAGCAAACTGAGAAGCAATAAGGTGAATTAAAGAAGTGACAAGAGAAGAGGAATTTCCAGTGATTATAATATTATCCACATACAACAATAAATACAAAACAGATGACCCACAATGAAAAATAAACAGGGAGTTATCTGACTTACTGCACACAAAATTATGAGAGAGAAGGAAACTACTAAATCGATGAAACCACGCCCGCGGGGCTTGCTTAAGACAATAAATAGCCTTGCGCAGACGACACACATGATCAGGAAATTGTGGATGTATAAAACCCCGTGGCTGACGCATATAAACTTCCTCAGTAAGATGACCATGAAGAAAAGCATTTTTGACATCTAACTGAAGCATACCCACCCAAAAGACACAGCTAGTGTAAGAACAATACGAACAATGGTGGGTTTAATGACTGGACTGGAAGTCTCAGAAAAATCAATATATATCTGCTGATTAAACCCTTGAGCAACCAAACGCGCTTTACGACGCTCAATAGAACCATCAGAGTGAAATTTAGTTTTATAAATCCATTTAGACCCAACCACATTTTTAGTGCTATCAAACGGGACTAAATCCCAAGTATTATTAGTAATAAGAGCATTAAATTCCTCAGCCATGGCCTCTCGCCATTTTAAATTTTTATGTGCCTCAGAAAAACAAGTCGGATCTGCATGAGTAACAACTGTTTGCAAATTAAAAATAGATTTAGGCTTAAAAATTCCTGATTTGGCCCTAGTTTACATAGGATGACAATTAATTTGGGGGGCAGAAGGGATGACTATGGTATTAATAGTACTGGGAGTCGAACAAGAGGACTGATCTTGGCTGGCCGTACTACCGGGTGAAGAGAGGTGATAGGATGCGGCTGGAAAAATAGGCATGCCGTGATCATGGTGGTCAGCGGCTGGAAAAATAGGCATGCCGTGATCATGGTGGTCAGCGGCTGGAGTAATCAGTGGACTGGTGAGGCGGAAAGTGGGAATGCTGTCGGAGGTTGTAGGAGTAGATGGTGTACTGGTGGTTGAAGTTGGTGGGGTGTCGGCCGGATGAAAGAGATGTGAAGGGGCTTCGGCCGGTACTGTAGCAGGAGGAGGAAGAGCTGGACGAAGGGTATTAGTTAAATATAATTCAGACGTGACAGATGGAACATACTCAGACGGAGAGCTAGTAAGAGTGGTGAAGGGAAAATCATGTTCAATAAACCTAACATGACGACTAATGTAAACCGGACCAGACTTAGGCACAAGACAACGATATCCCTTGTACCCAGATGCATAGTCAATAAAAACACAACGAGTAGAGCGGGCAGAGAGCTTATTTGAAGATGAAGCGGAAATATTTGGAAAACATGAGCAACCAAACACCCGTAAAAAAGAGTAATCAGAAGTTTTGTGAAAAAGTTTCTCGTAAGGCGATACACCGAAAAGAAGAGAAGTAGGTAAACGGTTAATAATATATTCAGCAGTAAGAATTGTATCCACCCAAAAAGTGCTAGGAACCGAAGCATCAAGAAGCATAGTCCTAGTTAATTCCAATAAATGTTTAAGTTTCATTTCTGCAACTCCATTTTGTTGGGGAGTATCAGGACAGGATTTGCGAAAATAAATGTCATGGGTGTTAAAAAATTGCTGCATATTAAAATTAACAAATTCACCCCCTCCTCACTTTGAAATTTTTTAATTCTAGTATTAAAAAGATTTTCAACTAGTGATTTAAAATGTTGAAAGTGAGTGAAAACATCATCTTTTAGGCGCATTGGATACAACCAAGTAAAGCGAAAGAAACCGTCAATAAAACAAACATAATATTTTAACCCCAAACTAGATAAAACAGGTGATTGCCAAACATCAGAATCAATAAGTTGTAGAGGTTCAGAACAAGAATGACTAGCATCTGAGAAAGGTAATCGTTGTGATTTGCCTAATCGGCAAGAAATGCAATCGTGAGAAAAACTAGAGGTATTACAAATATGTTTTTGATTATTTAAAATACGTAAAACAGAATCGCCACAATGGCCTAATCTACGATGCCACAGAGAGCCAGAGGTAGAGACGGAAGAGAGAGCAAGTGATGACGGATGACTGAGGCTGACAGGATAAAGATGGCCTTTACTGGGTGCTTTAGAAGGACCGCCCCCCGAAATTTTGTCCTTAACAAAAAGGAATTTTTATCAAAAATTACAACACAGTTGTTATCCGCACAAAGTTTCTGAATAGATAATAAATTAAATTTTATCTGAGGCACGCGATAAACAGATTTTAAAACAAGTGGAAGGCTAGAAGAAGATAATATAATATCACCAATATTAGCTATAAGTAATTTAGAACCATTTGCAACACTAATATAATGAGATCCAGTATGAAGGTGCCATATGAGCAGATGCACCGGAATCCGGAAACCATAAAGAAGCATTAGCATCAATATTCGAAGCCATCAACGCAGGAGCAGAGTTTTGGTTAAACCGAGACGCACAATGCATAGCAGAGTGACCTATGGAGAAACATATCTGACAAACAACAGGTGGAGGAACAGAACCAAGAATTCCCTCAGAGGATTGAAAGCCTGCAGTGCGAAAGTTAGTACCACAAATAAAGTAGGAATTGGCATTTAAAGTGGACACAACAGATATACTAGCAGAACTTGTAGTGCCTGAAGAAGATGAAGATGCTGCATGCGACGGCCCGGCCAGGACCTGTTGGCATGTTCCTGGAAACGGCTGGCCAACTATAGGAGGCGACGGGGCTGCACCGGGAAACTGCTGGGCAGCGGGCTGTGGTCCGTAGCACGGCTGCCCGAACTGTTGGCCATAGTGATGGCGTCCATGATCACGTCCACCTCTGCCGCGGCCTCCTCTGTCGCTGTCACCCCGTCCTCGGGGAGCATAAACTTGTTGCGGTGGCTGCTGTCCCATAGCACCAAACGCTTGATGGATGGGAGATGAAGCTTGTTGACGATTAAACAACACCCGTTGTCCGGCTTCCATGAGACGAGGTTGCAATACCTCAAAGGGAAATTGATCGGGGAAAAGCATAATGATGCCAACCAAAGATTCATATTCGGGACCCAATCCACTAATAACCAATTGAAGTAATTATTTGGCCGAAACCGGGGCATTAACCGCAACAAGAGCATCAACCAAATTTTTAATATCCCGGAGATAGTGTTCCACAGATTGATTTTCCCTCTTTTCAAGACTAGATAATTGACGCTTTAATTCCATACAACGAGGTAAGCTAGCAGACATGAATCGAGTTTGTAGAATGGTAACATACGAATTTATAGAAAAAAAATCTACTAATATTACTACTTTTGGAAAAGTGGTGGACAAACCTAAATGTTTGGTGTAAGTGATATTATTGTGAATGTTGCGCGTAAGTCAAATTATTCTAAATGTAAACTACGTGTGTCAAAGATGGAAATCACCTTATAAAAATGTGAATTATGTGTCCAATATGTAAGCCACCTTTAAATGTGTCAAGCTTTAAAACAATACATGTTAAATAATACTTCCAAACCTTAATTAGTACATCCTTCAATTTTAAGAAGTGTGAATCCCTTAAATAGGACTTTTTAACTACCCTTAAATAAGATTAAAACATAATGCATTCCTTTAAACAAATCAACAATTTCTTTATTCCTACAATATGACTCATTCTCTTTTGATTAACTATTTGTGTTTAGGACTGGATGATGGTCGGTTTCATGTAAGAACACTATTTAACGTTAGAAATGAGAACACTTTTAAACGATGCACATTATGATTCACGAATATGCACATTTATATTTCGTATAGAAAATAATGCAGAATTTCAAATATGCACATTTATGGTTAAACTAATGCACACTTCAAATACATATTTTCTTATTAATGTTAGTGCACATTTCTATTTCACATAATGTATGATACTCAAATTCAACGCTTGCAGAATCATTATCATATTCTCCTTAGATCATGTTTTCATTTGAATCAAATTCAAGGACTGGATATCTATTTTGAAAATAAAGCTTAGTCTTACTTGTCAATTAATTAATTACATTGTACATATATACGTAGTATGTTATACTTGTATTATGTGCCAAAAAAAGTTTTAAACAATTAAAAATGTTTGAATGATTATTACGTAGTACATACTCTCCTTGTCATGAGATTTTGTATTTCATATTTGCATTGTCCACATTATTTCACGTTTAAGAAAAAATTGTTTGAATATAAACTTTGGATAGATCAGAGGAAAATTTAAGGGAAGTATGAAACTAATATGAAGATATATAATTGTTTTAAAAATGCGGCATGTAGGTGCTAAAGCTGATGAACATGCTTCTCTATCATTATTTCGATGACAAGTGCACTGCGGTTGAAAAGAACATCAGCATGGTCATCCGATTTGCTGAAATTTACAGACCGTATGTGTTCTTCTACGGGATGTGCGTATTTTATTCTCAATCTCATTATCATCCTTTCATTTTTACTTTTTAAATTGTTCCTAATATATTACTTATAAGGATGTTTTTACTTGGACGTTTTTAAATCTCAGACCAGATCATATCAGGTCAGACCAGACAAAACCAGATCAGACTAGACCAGACCATACTTGGATAGTTATAAAATACACAGAGAGCAGACAATTACTAGACCAAACCAGAGCAATTCAGACCAGACCAGACCATACCAGACCAGAAAAATTCTTTCCAAGTAAAAACATCTTGGTGGTACAATGGAATTGATTCATAGCCCAATTATTAGTTATATAATGTGTATTCACTGTCAGCCAAAACAATTCGAGATTATACATATTGGGTACTGCTATAATCACATTTTGTTTTATATCTTTTGATGGTACAATGGAATTGATTCATAGCCCAAATCCTGGAATAAATATATTTCTGGCCCAAAATATTTTTAGGGCTTACATGGCAAGAGTTTCATGACAAATGAGACTCATCAGCACCACCAGTATTTACTTTTTTTGGCCAAACCACCAGTATTTACTTGAAAATGTGAACATAAATAAGACATTAAATGTAGACATTCTTATAAGAGCATTACGAAATTCTATCATAAATAGACTTCTTATTGAAGTGGTTAGGTCTTCAAATACTTATGCAAGATTAAGCGTATAAATACTCCTGTAAGAGACCAGATCTGTAAACCTAAGCGATCTCTCATATAATAATACTGCTCTTTCATTGCCAATTTACTTCAAGCCATCATTAGATATCTATCGTAAGTGGAATTATTCTCCATCACCTCGTACTTTCATTGAGAGCTATCTCTGGTCATCTTCTTATTTGAAACAATGGCAGGATCGTGTTGTAACAAATGTGCTGTCAGGGCGAATTCAACTTTTGTCCACGATGACGGCTCAACAAGGGACCTCCTTCACCTAATGATTTGACGAATCGTATGAACAATGTTGGAGGCTCGAAGAACCCGATTGTTGACCCATCACTAGTGTGGATGCCTATTGGTGGTGGTACCATTCAGAGTATGGATCTTGCTTAGGCGTTGGCGGGTTTGGCAACTTTCCAGAGGGTGGAGGAGGCCTCACTACGATTTTTTAAGGAATATTACCTATGGCTATGACACGACAATGGGTTGCCGCACATGCACCTTTTATGCCTCCTTTTGTTGAAGCATATGCCTTGTTTGGCCACCACAGAAGGCACTCACCCCCCGCAACGGTCTCATGAATCCCACCGTCCGTCTCACCCCAGTGATCCGTCCCTAAGTGACTCAATGATGGAATGGCTCAAGGGTGGGAGGCTTTCAGTCCATGACCGGCTAACCAGGAGAGACAAGGATAATAGGAGGGCTCCCTCCGCTGCTTAACCCTTGCACCACTCCGTGTGTGGCAGGAACAGGAGGAGGGAAAACCATTAACATCCCCATTCCCACTCATCCTACCCCGTGGGATCAAGGCACTAATGACCATAACAACCTCAGAAAGGAGGCTAGATGACCAAAGAAGAGTCGTGGATGCTCGGATGACCTATCCCTATGAAGTGAAAATTCTGGAGCCCTTTTTTGAAGGGTCCTGGAAGCTCCCCTTTCTCGCGGTTACAAACCTCGTAACCTTGAGGTCTATTGGGGAAAGACATATTCACATCACCATATCTCCATGTACATGGCCTACACAGTTACTGATTCTGGTTCTTCATAGACCGAACACAATGGTGAGACATCGATGTTGTGAATATGGAGTTCCTTCCACTCGTTCCATTATAGGTCCAGAACATAATCCTCGATGAAGTTTTGGCCTGTGAGAACATAGGTAGAGTAACACCTGGGTCACGAAGACTTCCTGTTGACATCATTTCAGAAACAGGTTCCAACGGATGGCCTGAGCAGGTAGGTGTGTATGATGTTGTTGCCTCAGGACTTCCACTCAATCTTTGGACAACATCTTCAGAAGATGAGCCTATGGGTGTTTTATTTGGCTCGACCAGGCCAGTAGATAAGGGCTGGGTGGTGTTGATTTTGTGTTATGAGGATTTGGGTTGAGGTTTGGAGTTGGGAAATTGTGGCTGAGACTGATAGTGGATGGAGGAGGTACATTGCTCAAATGTCCATTTCTTCTTCTCCCCCTTCATGAGGTTCCGATTCATCGGGATTCTCATGTAGATGTTTAAGGTTGTGGAGACTATCACGGCAAGTGAATTGGGTGTGAAGAAAGTAGAGAAGGGTTTGTTGGTCAGGGCTAAGGTTTGTTTTGGCGGATAGGCGGAGATAGAGGTTTTTGGTCAAAGAGGGAATACGTTCGTTGTTGGGATCAATGAGGTGGGTGGTCTGGTCTAGGGAGGATACTATTTCGGTATCATGGGTTCTCCTTGGAGAAGTGGTAGGAGTAGGTAGGTGGTGGATGTAGTTATCGGATAAAGGTTAGGTGTTGGTTATGGCTGGTTGTGGATGTACTTGTGTAGCCTGGGTGTGCCTTGAACCCTGGATAGTAGTAGCTATTGCTGATTGTACCTTAGAAAGGATGTTGGCTTCGAAGGACTCAAAGCAGCTATGCAACTAATGCATAATGACATATTGGGGTTGTGACTTGTCACTACTAGAAGTGTGTACACTTTCCATTCTCACATCGCTGAAGATTGTCGATGTGTGGCCTGCAAATAATGGCGTCAAAATGGGTTGCGTAGAAGGACTTCCGTCCATTGTAGAAGTTTCTCCGATCGTTGCAGTAAGGTGAATGAAGTCCACATGTAATAGATAGTGTGTTTGGTAGTTGTGTCCTAGAAAATGGAGAAAATATATGGGTTGTAGGACCCGAACTCGAAGAGATTGAATGAGGGGCAGTGTCGATGTGTGGAGCTGTAGAGAGGTTTGTTTAGCTTTCTTGTGAATTGTTGAAACCTTTTCATGTTGGGAGGTTGAGGAGTGACTACGTAAGGGATGTGCGTGTGCAGTTAGACCAGATGTTGCATCTTCTACTCGGGAACTGACAAGGTCTGTTGCTTCTCGCAGGCTGCTCCTATGTGATTGGTTCGGCTTATTTCTGGGGTTGGGTGATCAAAGTTGTGAAAACCTTGCGCAAGATCATTGATATCAGTGTGCCTTTCCTCAGAAGTGAGGTCATGAATGCCTTTGGAGTGCGTCTCACTTATAAACATTGTATTTTGATTGTAACTGTCTGACTTGCAACCCTAGGAAAAAGGTTAATTCACCCATCTTACCTATTTAAACTTGGTGCGCATTAGGTCACCGAACTTCTTGCAAAGATTAGGATTGGAGGAAGCGAAAATGATGTCATCGACCTAGATCTGAATCAACATGATATCATATTTATGTCGCTTAATGAAGAGGGTGGTGTCAATGTTCCCTTTTGAAAAGTCTAATTCAACAATAATAATACTTGTACCAATACATTAAAATTGTTATTAATATTATTAAAATTATTACTGTTAGTGAAAGCTAATAGCCCATATTAATTTTTTAAATTTTGCTAAACGAAAAAAATATTTTTTGTAGAGTTTTTTTTAATGTATATATATTCGTAGAGTTGTTATGTGTAGTTCATTCGGCAAATATTTTAAATCAATTATTTATTATACTGCAGCTTTGATGGCAATAATACTAAGAGGTTGAGAACGGCTACAAGAAGCAGCAATATGTCTGAGATATTCTTCTTTGACCCAAATTGTATCGACTGGGAAGACTACTTCATTAATACACATTTTCCAGGAGTCGTCAAATATGCCTTCTAAGTGTGTTTATATTATATTATTCTATAATATATATATATATATATATATATATATATATATATATATATATATATATATATATATTGTCAAATAAAAAGACCGTGACAGACAAAATAAGAATAAATCCTAGCCAGGCATTTTCAAAAGTTTATCCATAAGAGCATATTTATGTTTTCGGACATTTTAGTAATCATTGTATACTCATTTATTTTGGTAGTTTATTTTCAATCTAATTAGAATTAATCATGACAGTTACTTTTGGAATGAGTGATTACAAAGAGTTCTTTTAACTTGTGCAAATTTTATTTGGTATTCATATGCAGTTTTGTACTTTGCATATACAGTTTTGTATATTTTGATACACTCTTTTCTCTCGTTGAAAAGATCTTATTGCGTTCTATTTTTTTTGGATAAACTGTAAAAATATATATATCCAAGAAAGTTTATGTACGAATGTACAACATCAAAAACATCTACGGGGCATTCCAAGCAAGGATCCCCTGTCACCACAAAAACCCATCTAGCTACATATACATGCTAGCCATCACAAAAGTTGGTGACGAAACAGCAAAAATCAGAATGTTACCATATAATATGGATACATTGAATAAAGCACTTTATACACCATATACTTTATATTTGCAACCATATCCAACACAGTAGTCTTGGCCTTCTCAAAGCATATATTATTCCTCATACGCCATATCCAGTAGATCAAATAACAAAAAGCTATCCTCACGGCCTTGGCTTTGACATGTGCTCCATTATGCTCCTTTTTGATCCATTTGACCGCACTTGAAAGTGTTATCATTTGCCTCAAAAGCCCAAGCCATTCCCTCACTTTACTCCAAACCTGTCCTGTAAATGAGCACTCAAAATATAGGTGTGATACCGTTTCCGGACCACCCTTACAAAAATGACAAACATTAACCACGTCAAGAAATCCCAACCTATCATATGTGGCTAACGTCCCCCGAAAGGCTAGCCAGGTAATGAAAGAGAACTTGGGGGGGATATAAAACTTCCATATAAAAGACATCCAAGGATGAATATTACCCTTAGACCTAAGCAATTCATACACTTTAGAAGAAGAAAGCTTTCCATTTTCGGAGATCTTCCCAAGGTAAGTCACGACCTCTTCTTTTGAATGAAACTTGGACACAATCAAGTCCCGAATCATCCAAATCTTTTTCATTAAGCGGGAATCCCTTGTGTGTGGAACAAAAGCCCACACATCCCTCTCTTGGAGGTAGACCCCATGAACCCACTTAACCCATAGCGAATCTTGTTTGGAGTGAATGTTCCAAAGGGTGCGGGATAGTAATGCATTATTCCACACCATAGTGTCCCTAAGACCCGATCCTCCTTCTTCCTTTGGTAAACAAACATCACTCCATGCAACTTTATTATGCCCCCCCCCCCAAAGGAATAGCCTACAAAGCGAGGTTATCCTATCTAGAATAGCCCTCGGCATAGGGAAAATTCCAAGCCAAAAAGATTGAACACCTTGCATGATAGACCTAATCAACTCAACCTTCCCAGCATAAGAAAGAGTTTTGGAATTCCACGCAAATAAATAATTTGTAACCGTGTCAATCAAAGGAGAGAACTGGGCTACAAATATGTTCAAAGGAGCAAGTGGGATACCCAAATATCTAACAGGAAAGGATCCTTGTTGAAAGTCTACCATTTGCATAATGTATGGAATTCTACTCTCCACATTTCCACCTAAAAAAATATTAGATTTATCATGATTAACCATAAGGCCGGAAACCAACCCATAGTCCGTTAAAGCATCCACTAATATTTTGATAGATGAGTAGTTTCCTTTTGAAAAGCATCAAATCATCCACATAAGCCAAATGTGTTATTTTCAGTTTAGAGCATAAAGGGTGATATCGGAAAGAAGGATTTGAGGTCCTTAAGTAAATCATCCTAGAAAAGTACTCTAAACATAGCACAAAAAGTAAAGGGGACATAGGGTCCCCTTGTCTTAGTCCCCTCTTTCCTTCAAACCATCTATGAAGAGCTCCATTAATGGATATGGAAAAGGATGTAGAAACACACTCCATTATCCAATTAACAAACAAAACAGGAATGCCAAAATCAATCAAAACCTTTCCAAGGAAATCCCATGAGACTGTATCATAGGCTTTCCTAAGATCAACTTTGATCATACACCGGGGCGAAGGTCTTTTCCTAGAGTATCCTCTCACTAACTCTTGTGCTAAGAAGATGTTGTCAGACATCAACCTTCCATCAATAAAAGCTCCTTGTGAAGGGTTAATGACACTAGAAAGACAAGGACCAAGCCGAGATGCAAGAATCTTAGTTATGATCTTATAAGTCACATTAGTACATGAGATAGGCCTAAAATCCGAAACTGTGGGGGAATGAGTTGTTTTAGGGATAAGTGCGACCACAATATGATTAACATGTTTAAGCATAGTCCCTGTAACAAAAAATTCCCTTACGGCATTACATACATCCTCCCCAACTATACCCCAATTAGATTTAAAGAAAGCAGACAAAAAACCATCCGGTCCAGGGGCTTTATCATTACCAATATCAAACAAGGCTTGTTTAATTTCCAAATCGGTCACAGAACTAATGAGGTCATTAACAAGTGTTTGATCTATGGTGTTTCCCGAAGAGATTATCCCCGTGTCATATCCCTCAATTGGTACAATTGTACCAAACAAACCTTTAAAGAAGACTATGAACTCATTTGCTACTTGGTTCATAGATTGGGTAAGACTTCTTCCTTCCAATCTCAATGAAGCAATAGAGTTTTGAGCATTATTCTTTTTCACAATAGAGTGGAAGTATTTAGTACACCTATCCGCCTGTAAAATATGGATAGCCTTAGCCTTTTGTTTAAGATAGGCTTCATCGGCTTCCTTCAAGAAAAGTGCCCTCTTTTTTTAAACCAACATATCCTCTTTTAGAGCATCATCTAGAGGAGACAAGAGGGCTAATTGATAGATTCTCTTATACTCCTTTTTTTATTCTTTTGCCCTAATCGAGATATGACTAAATTCATCTCTATTGAGTTGTTTTAGGGGCTGCTTTAGTAGCTTAAGTTTATGGGCAAGCCCAAACTGAGCCGTACCAACAACATTCCTAGTCCACACAATCTCTAAAATGCCATGAAAACTTCCATGCTTTAACCACATGTTAAAAAATTTGAAGGGTTTGGACCCTAAGTTGTTCACGGTCCCAATGGTTACAAGAGATGCCACATGATCAAACTCACATTCCATTTCAAACAAATGAGCCTTACATGTTATATTTTGCAAATTCCAAAACGGATTAATAAGAACTCTATCCAACTTAGCCCAAATTGCACCCCTATTCCAAGTAAAAAAAATCACCGGATGAGGGTGCATCGGTGAGACTAGAAACCATTTTCATATCATTAATGTGTTTCATTGCATAGGCCGAGGGAGGGGCAGACCCACTCCTCTCATTTGGAGAGCCTACACATTTTAAATCACCCAAGACCACCCAAGGAGCTAAGATATTAGGACTTAACCCGGAGATATGTTCCCATAATTCTCTCCTTTGAACAACTGTGTATAAAGTGTATATAAAAGTGACATAAAATGTTACTTGTGTAACTTTACAAGTGAATCTAACATGAATGTGTTGTTTATCCACTTGTAAAATCACCCCATCAACAAAATTTAAATCCCAAATAATTGCCATTCGGCCACCACTCATTTTGTCAAAATTTGTAATACAGCCCCAATCATTAAACCTAAAATTCACAAAGTTATCAAACGTAGAAGAAGACATCTTAGTTTCTAGTAGGCAAAAAATGCGTACCTTATTCATTCTTGCAAAAGTAACTATAGTGTTTTGTTTTGAGGTCTGGTTAAGCCCCCTTACATTCCATGATGCTATATACATTAAAACTATTTAGTCCACCCTCCTTTCCTCTTGTAAGGCCGATTGCCTTCTCTTTGCCTTTGGACCCATTCTCTATAACTCTCACAACCTTTGTACCAATCAATGAATATAGGATATACTTTAGACATAAATTGGGGTGAGAAATTATACCCTTCCTCCGTGTTGGTAACTCCCAGGAGAGAGTCAAAGCATGAGGATGTGAAAATGAGCCCACAACGTGATGTATTCCAATCTACTGATAGGTAGTTGGTAAGCCTTATCATCGTCTCTTTAACTTCTTCCCCATGCACCAAATGCATGCTATATCCTCCATCTTCTTCAAACTCAACCTTGGTAATCACATCATCAATGTAAGCCTCTCTAATATCATCCACCACACGGGTTACTCCCTTGTTTATCTTCCTTACATCCAAAACCTTGCTTCCATTACCCATAGGATGACCATCTTCACAGTATCTATCAAGGAAGTGCCTATATACACACTTCATGAACACGTCCGAGAAGGAGTAGTACTTCTTCAGCTTTTTAACTCCGGGTAAACTTTCCAAACATGACTTGGTAAACCATACTTCGGGCACTTTACCACTCACCACTTTGAGATGGTGGTTAAGCCGAATAGTAGGTTCCTTAATCTTGTGTAAGTGATTCACCTCTATCGTTGGTGTTAATACCTCATCAACCTTCATAGTAACAATGGCTTCATCATCATATATATCCTTAAATCCTTTTATGATTCTAGGGTCTCCATCCTCTTCTTCTTGTGTTTCATATCCGAAGGATACCTCATCCTTCTCTTTAGTGTTCAGTTTCCTCTTGAATACCCCTTTAATCTTATTAAGACGTTTAACCATCAAGAAGGGGTGATATTCCTTCTTTTTTGGTTTGTTTTGTACCTTTGCCGCGGCTTTGGAGGATTCACCATGTTGGCCCACGGGTTTGGACACTAGCTTGTCCCCTGCCTCAGAAGTTACCCCAATGGTTTCCACCTCGGTGCTTATGGTTTTAGGTTTCTCTTGTAGTTTGGGTTGGGGTTCTCCTTCCTCCATGATCTTCTTCTTTTCCTCCCTTTTTTTCTCCAAATCCGCAATTACCTTGCACGT